ACTCTCTGAACAAATATGAGGAACAGATGTTCGTTTCTGACTGTAAATTACTGTTCTCCTGGGAAGAATTGAAGCTGGGTATGTGGCCCGTACAGCTTTACCTCCCAAAATATTTTTCGTGCACTTTCATAAAAGACATCTTTCAAATAGATTGTGTGTAATTTACAATCAAAATGAAGGTGTCATCCTCATATTTTTAACCTTGATGTTATTTTTCTTTCGTGTTGCCACAGATATGAAGGAGATTAATGTTTTTAGTGTTATTAAGGTGGTCCCCATTGGTCAAGGAAAAATATTTTCGCCCTTATGTCATGCTTCAGAGAGAAAGCAGCTAAGAGAAAAGAAAGACTGTAAAGAATACGGAGGGGTAAATATAATAGTGAGATTAAAGCAAAAAATAAAAATAAAAAAAGAAAGGTTTAAGACAGAAGGTAAAGTTAGAATGAAAAACATGTAGCGTTCATGCTCTCATTTACTAAAATGTTGCTTTTCAGAGTTAGTACCTGAATGTTTCTTGCTGTGAGGCGTTTTATTAAGACAAAAGAGAATAGATAACGTGGATAAAGGTGCGTCTGATGTTCTATCAGCTGTAAATCAATTCACCAATCACGCTTCACAAAGCTGTTATGTTTACAGTCACACCCAGGTAACTTTGGTGTTTTATAAGTCCCTCGGGGTTTCCCCGTGTGAATATGAAGTTAGAAAAGATATTGTTCCTGACAGATAATATCCTTGAATGCAAATCAAGTCTGGTTCACAGGATAACTGTTACTGCCTTTTCTGGTTGTGTTTCTGAGTCTGTTGAGAACTCATCCGCAGGGTATCCACAGTAGAAACTGAACTGAGCGGTGAAACATCGCTTGACGTTGTTACAGTTCAAGCAATAACTCAAATAAAATGTGGGAAGGAGACTGTAAATGTTTTGAAGATTTGATTTCTATTGCACATGATATGAATGTATTTATATTCTTTTAGATACTGGATTTGACTTAAATGATGCATTGGATTACGGGACTGAAAAAAATAAACCACCAAGGCAAGGAAGGACCAGACTCTTGAATACAGGTTAGTAACAACTGTTGTTGTTAAGCATTTTATTGTAGCCAAGAAGTTAAAAAATGGGGGGAAAGCAAGGTGTGTAGAAATACATGCAGTAAACACTTTAATTCTGACTAGATTAACAAGCTAACAACTAGTCCAGCCAGAGCCAGGATCAAAGTGGATTGCTGCTACCCTAAAACCACTTCAGTCTCAAATATTTCACAGTGGTTCATCCAGATTCTTTTATAAACCTTTACACCGTAGTCAGGTTTGAATTGTCAGATTATTTCTCCAGAAATATTAGAATATTCCTGCTTAAAGTGCTCAAGTTCAAGTATCTTTATTGACATTTGCATCACATGTGGTACAGGAGGTGGAAAGAAAGTGTGTACTCAAGGTCCAAATTACACCCAACAATAGCAAAAATACAACTTATAAGAAGAAACAGTATATAAGGATCTAAGATATACTCTAAGATGTATTCTAAACGAATGCTAGACAATACGCTAAAAGATCTAAGATATACACTAAAAACTAATGATGTAAAATAATACTGTATATGAAACAGCATCCCGAACATGAGTCTGTGGTGAGCAGATGGGTATGAATGAATACAGCAGCATGAGATAGTCAGCAGCATAAGATGAGCAACATGGATAATCAGCAGCATGGATATGTCACATATCACCTGTTAAAGTGGCGTTACAGTGATTGTTTTTTCTTACAGTGATTATTTTGGTTAGAGATTCATGAGTCTATCAGCCTCAGGGTAGAAGCTGTTCCTCAGTCTAGTGGTTCTACACTTAATGCTCCTCAACCTCCTGCCTGAGGGGAGCAGGGCAAAAAGTGTGTGTGCTGGGTGAGTGGAGTCCTTCATGATGCAGGTGGCCCTCTTCCTGCATTTGGAGGTGTAGATGTCTGTGATGGTGGGGAGGCTGACTCCAACAGTCTTCTGTGCAGCCTTCACCACTCTCTGCAGAGGTTTCTTTTCTGCAGCTGTGCAGCCTCCGTGCCACATGTTGATGTTTGAGCACAGGATGCTCTCCACTGCACACCTGTAGAAGGAGATTGCGAGGTTGACCTTGAAATTGTAGTTGCCTGCCATGGTTTTTCTTATTGCAAATGACCATAAAATTTAATGTAAATGGCAATTTATTGCAAAACTGACGACAATATGAAGATATTAATAGCTCTTGCATTAACTTTTGAAAATGGAGTTGATTTACGATGACAGAAATCCACTTTGGTCTTGACCCCTTCAACATTTAACTCGTTAGCCTTGTTCAATTTTTCCAAATTCAGGCTGTTGAAAAAAAAACGGTCTCAAACAGGTAAGATAATAACTGTTCATAAACTTTTCAGAAAAACTTGCTTCAAAGGCCTGAACCCTTAATCATGAGTCACAAAGCAGTTTGCCATCTGTTGAGGAACAAGGTGTTTTGTTTTGTGATTACTTCTCACTGCCCACGTGAAACCCGACTCCTGCTAATCGCTGGAGTCACGGCTTTGTTCTCTGAAAGTGCTCTTCCTCAACAGCTTGGTCAAGTTGAAGCAGGTTAGCAGCAGCAGTGATGTCAAGAGCAAATACAGACAAGCAACAAGGAAAAGGATAACAGGGTTGCTGGTGCACAGATCAGATGTCAGAGCAGAGATTACCATGCTGAGTTTATGGAGTCTGATATTTTATCACCATATATTAACAATGCATCGCTGTGAGGGTAAAGAAGTAACACTAGCTGATCGTGTTTCTCTGTTTGCGTGAGTCTACTTGGCTTGACATCTGTTTGCGAACTGCTAACTTAGCTTTACGTCAATATTTCACACTGTTAAAAGGAGATATTTAACGCTGGGATCTGGTTTCAAGTTAAAAATCGCAGCCAGGCTAAAAAGAAAAGCACACAAATAACTGTGTCAAGCATGAACTTGTGTTTCTCTGCCAAAACCTTGTAATGCCTCTAAAAAAATAAACTACCATAAAGAGATTAAAGTTAATCCCTCTCCCTTTTTTTCCCCTTCAACCTTCTTTGTTAAAATCTTTCCAGGTGATTATCAGCCCATTTGAGTAACGGTTTTTCTCTCTGTGCTGAAACTGTTTTATTTATTTTTTTTGCTTTCAGAATCTGTTATTGACAACTCAGAGAGAAGTAAGTATTGTTTGTGTCCACAAATCAAAAGATGCATTATTACAAATCATATCAAAACATTTCCCGTTCACATCCCAGTCAAATAGTGTGCTGTGCAGCGAGGCGAACTTGTTGGAGCACACAGGATATTACTGGCATGTCTTTATCGTAGCCAACAGGATACAAGAACCAGAACCAAAATATCTTCTGTCGTTTAAACTTTCTGATATGTCATGTTATACCTATTGGGATTACCTAGTGTCTATTGCTGCACTGATGCAGTTTGTATGAAAGGACCCTGTAGATAAAATGCCTCACACAATGATTTGCATAACTCCAAAGGTGCTTTTTGCATAAACTAATATGTTGTGAACTGCATAATTCAGTGTTATATGTTAATTTTGTTTGTGTTTTCCCTTTTCAATCGCAGACAATCCTTCATCCCAAGGTGAGTTATCATCTTCTGTTTTCTTTCTTTTTTTATTATTTGCTCTATTACCTCCCTCTTGCCCTACCCCAAACATACCTGCAGCGTAATATTCGTCCCACTGTTTTGTGTCCCTTAGCAGGTGTTTGTCCTACGTGACATTTCCAAAACCTTCGTTTAAGTTGTGCTTTGAGCATAATTGCGTAATTGCGGAAAATACTTTGGGGCTGAAGTACAAGAAGCTGTGAAAATGTTTAAACAATTGACCCAACCAGTGTCAAAGCCATTTAAATCTTTCATTATAAAAGAATAAAAAGACTAATAAAGATTTGGAGGCATTAAAGAGCTGTATACACACCTTTTTTCAGTGCCTATTTCTGTCACGTTCTTTTTCTTTGAGTTAGGCGCTCTGTGTTTGTGAACGTGTATGTTCATGCCCACGTGTACTTCCTTTTACTGACTCATGCTCTCGTTTCCTTCCACCTAATTTCATCGACTCAAACTTTTATTAATCCTCTGACTCATGCGTCTCCTTTTGTTTTTCCCACCTTTTCCTGTCTTTAGATTGACTTTAATTCTTTTTCAAGTGTGTGCTTTTGTGGCCGAAAGTCAACGACCTCCCCCTCCACCCCCCTTTCCTCCGCGTTTCACCTTTCACGTCGCCTCATCATGTCTTGCCTTTATTACTCTGCGTTGACTGAAACTCCTCCGAGCACATAAAGGGGCCTTGTTTTTAAGATGGAAATACAGCTGACCTTCAATCCGCTGTCGAGCAGCAATGCAGGGCACATTCCTTACATCTGATAGATGGTGTGTTAAATTGTAGTTACATAAGTTTGATCTTTATCTCTCATTGATATATGTATAGACTCTAAACAGCCTGTTTATGATATTTTTTTCTTGAGCAATTTAGCTGTATTTTGATCAGTGTCTTCACTGTCCATGTAATGATCATGAAAACCATTCAGACTGGTGTTGTCATGGTAACTCGGGTGCAGGCGCAGGAAGATTTCCTTGAATGCTTTTAAGAGCCTAAATTTGATGATAGACAAATGGAAAGGTACGAGATGCATCCTGCTCAAACACAAGCACACAGCAAGATGAGCACATTTGGTCTCATCGTCGCTGAAATGATGCAGATTCTGTAAACTGAAAAATTGCAATAATGGCACCAAACATAAAGTTCAATGTACTTTCTGATGAGAAAAAAAAAACAAAAAACACAGATCGTATTAACAGTGGAAATGTTCCATTTGAGATGTTTGGGTTTGCAAATGAACATTGCTCTATCACAATTTTCTTTTTTTTTTCCTACAGAAGGAAGCTCTAAACCTTTAGCAGGAGTCCTGTCTGCAATTGTTGTGTCTGCAGTTGGAGCCGTCATTGGGTACTTTGCCTATCAGAAGAAGAAACTGTGCTTCAAAAACAGAGAGGGTAATTATATAATGTGTGACTTAAAGCTAACACAGTAGTCCCTCGCTACTTCGTGGTTCATTTTTCACGGACTCGCTCTATCTCGGTTTTCAAAATAAGATTGGACATGACACGCAACTGGCTGACTGATGGATGAGCCGCATGATCGGCATGGAATTTTTATTTAAAATTAATTATTTTACATTATTGTTCACCTGCTGCACCTGTGTGCAGCCCCACACTGCAGGATAAACTTCCCCCTGCAGCTCCTCTTCCATCCTCCTTCCTCCTCTGTCGATCTCTGTGCAGAGCGGAGAAGTGGGCGTGGCCGAGAGCGCAGAGTGCAGCTGTGGCAGAGAGCTGAGATCATGACATGCTGTGCTCTTTTAGAGCATTTAGAGTTTAGAAACATTGTTTAGAATATTGCAAAAGTGTGAGAAAGGTTTAAAACACCTTTATATATATTTATATATATATATACATATATATATATATTATATATATATATATATATATTATATATATATATTATATATATATATATTTTTTTTTAACTATAGAATTTAATGAACAGATGACCTAAGTTCAAGATTATTTACTTTTTTTTCCTAAACACATATTTAAAAACACTGAATGAACTATAAGGTGTCAGTTTGACCAACGAACTGCATTTACGTATACACGGCTTTTTGACAGCCCATTTAGGACACTTTTACACAATAAGTCTCATCCATCTTCACACATACACTTATTAACAGAGTGTATGGGTTGTATGGGGTTCAGTGTCATTGCCCATCATCAATTCAAGAGGAGCAGGGACTGAGCCGCCAACCATCCGCTCTGCAGACAATCTTCCTCCCGTTGACACATTCACATTAGCAAAAGCCTCTTCTTCAATTCGTCTTGTTGGTTTAGGTAAATCAGATTAACATCAGTCCACATCTGAACTGTGCTTCTTTAAGAGACAATGTTCTGGAAATTAGCCTCCCTCGAATCAGAGCTGACCTTCTGCCTTAATCTAATCAGCCACAGTCTTTTGCTCTTTTTCTGCAAACATGTTCAAGTAAAAATTGGGTTTATTTTGTAAATGAAACAGCAAAAAATATTTCAAGGTCATTTGTCAACAGAAAGCACAGACTCAGCTTTATGTCTCGATACGTTTAAGCCAGAACAGTCAGCTCACACAGAACTGCTATTTCAGCAAACGTTGAATTTACAGTCAACATGGGCTACAGGCCATTCAGCTTTAACTACGTGCATCAAAAAGCAGCTTCAAAATGTGAATATTTAGATTATTTGTTTTAATGTTTACTTTAGATATCGTAAGCAAGCTTAATTTTGTAAAAAATCCAGGAACACATCTAGATGCAAATTAAAAGGACTATAACAGACTAAATGAATTTGAACAGAAATCAATGATAAGGAGGTAAATCTGGGAGAAATCTGCCATTCTCGGAATCCCCCATCAGATATTTGATTCAAAGCCAGTAAAGCCGTGTGATTCCATGACTAGAAAACCCATTAAAAAAAAAAAATCCCCTTTTTGTCTCATGGTCACTGGAACATGCTTTTTATTAAAGGAGGAATTAAATTATAAAACGAAATGTGTTTAAAATTCAGCCCTGCAGCGTGATGCCTTTTTGCCTTCTTGCTTTGTGCTATTTATTCTTTTTTTTTTCTAACTTCTTTTTGTTCTTCCTCTTTATCAGTGGCAGATCCAGAGGCCGGGCACAAACCAGATAAAGTAGACGTAGCAGAGGCTCAGTCCGATCCACAGGGTATGACGCAGACACACAACAACACACACCAAAAGTGCTTTACGCTCCTAACATTTGATCTGTTTTCTTCTTTCTTCTCCTCAGTCCTTAGCAACTTACTGAACTCCTCCCAGCAATGATCATCTGACTGAACCAGCTGCAGTCAAGCAAAGTGGCAATCTCACTGTTAGGCTCAGTCCCGAAGAGCCGAATTACTGTGAGGCCCGAGAGTTCGGCTGTGTGTTTCTGTCTGTGTGTGTTTTGGTCTACTGTATATGAGTGTGGGTCTTTGTATGGATGAATGGTGCGCTCAATCTTAAATGTGCACACAACTGGGGTAAAAGAAGCAGTTAGATAAAGATGAAATATATTTGAATTCAAGGAGCTTCTTATTGTTCCAACATAGGAAGCTGATAAAATGATCAGTCCAATTTTATTTTAATCAAAGTTACAATCAAAGAGATTAAATCTCATGAAAAGTGTAACCTTAAAATGGCTTAAATATTATTTTTGTTAATAATATTATTATCTGTATGACTACATTCTGTTTCACAGTAATAGAGTGATGAGTGTTCGTACTGAATTATCATGAGTGAATTATTTTATTTCTATTTTAGCCAATTCTAACATTTATTAAGACAAACACTCAGAAAATCCTCTGTTTAAAGTAGTATTTTAAGCAAAAATAAAAAAAAATAAAATAAAAAATAGCTTTTTACCATTGTTGTCTCTTGTAAAAGTGTAGAATAAAAGGATAAATGGCATGGATTATTACTACTGTAATTTGAATCCTAATTTTCTGTCGATGCTCTGAAATGTCACCGTGTCGGTTTGGAGGATGACATGTGTCTGTTATTTTTCTTACCGTATAGGGGCTTTAAAATCTTGTTAACTCCATCTTAGCCAATAAAATAAATCACCTGTTGATAAAATATTTTAGTGACCATTTAAAACGCATCTCAGACCAACTTTATTTGACTCTGAGGACATGCAAGCACTAACCTTTTGTTTTATTTTATTAATGTTCTAAACTTACTGAACCAGATCCCATCACTGTAAATGAATGGCTGGTCACCTAACACGGACAAATTCACAAGAAGTGATGTAGAAATGTGTTGTTCTAATGTAATATGTGTTTAGATGTGATGCAGTATTTTCTTTGCTATAGTGCCTTTCACTGTCACAGCCTGGCTTGGTCAACGTAAAGACGCACAGGGAACATTTCTGGGACCTTAATGTGAAAACAAGAAAACACCGTGGTGAATGTAAGCATACTGATTGGAAAACAGACAGTGAATATTGTTTAAAATCGTGAATAACTCACAAATATATGGCTATCAGACCTGTGTTATTATCGTCAGCAGGCCAGTTTTAGTTTGTGTTTTATTCCAAACCGTGTAAAACCTCCCTTCAATGTGTGTCTCTTCATTCGAGCAAGTCAGTAGCTGTCAGTATTTTTGTACCATTCATGTACAAACACCACTCACTTGTGATTTTTATATAGATATTCTTACCATTTTAGCAGTGGTGCCTATTAGCCGACACTGATGGTCTCGAGTCGACTCGTTTCGCCATGTTGTTTCTGTGAATGTTGTGAAATTTCTCAGAAGAAGCTACGTTACTGCCTCTTTTTCTCGTCGTCGTTGTAGTTTTGTTCTTTTCTACCACTGTAGCACAAATTCACTTCTGAATGTCTTTCTGTTGCCTTGAAGTTTTGTACCTTCCCTAATCCTTTTTGAACTTTAAAATGTGGTAGCGCAAGTTGCGCCGCAGTTCACGAGGTGCGTTCGCTGTAAAAACACTTTATTAGCAGCAATACAGGACATAGACTGTTGCTAACAGCCTAGCCTCGAGCTGACAATAGTCTGTGATGTCACTTTCGTTTGCGATAGAAACTGTGAGCTTCTCTTCCAGCTGCCATCTTTTCTTCCAACCTGTGATAGACAGTAGACAAATTTCTCTTGAAATGCTGAAGCAAGTTGGATAACGTGTCTGGCACGGAGCACAAAAACACAAATTACCCGTGAAATAACAGTGCAAGCTTTGTGAAAGAGCCACTGACGCCTTCAAAAAAGGAAGTTTTTGTTTAGATGCAGCACACTCCACTGAGTGCTAAACGATTCAGTCACAAACTGTCAAATCCTGCAGAGCACATTCAGATAGTGTAAGGGGGAAAAACATCAATTCTACCACCTTAAAAAATAAAATACGAGCACTGCTTTTCTTATAAACCACTACACTTCTTCCCAAGCCGTCCCTGTAAAACAGAATATTGGAGCACAGCAAGCAAAACTCGAATGTAAACCTGGTCCGGAAGTGCACTTCCCAAAATCCTGCAAAAAAAGGGCATCAAACATGACCAGTGCTGCCTTATTATTTATAATCGCTTGAATATTCCTGGGAGGAGAACTTAGACAAGTGTCATCATGGTAAAAGAAAACCGTAAGGCGAAAAGAGATGTTTTGTAAGGACATTTTCAATTGGAGAAGCACTTTCCTACCCTGTACACATGTTGATTTATTAAACACATTTAGACTAGTGTAATTTAAGATACCATGTTTATATGATGTGTAGGAACTGTCTTCATTACTGTCATCTGGCACTTGTGCTTTTCTGGAGTTGTGTAAATAATGTTTGACAAGACAATTAAACTGTTTTTGTGGGAGCTGTCTGTATGGTTGGTATTTTATTTATATCTATTTTTTTTCAATTTGCTATCATTTTATCATTTTGGTCAGTGAGTTAGATGAACTCTAAATCAAAAATGTCTCAACAACCATTTAAGATTTCAAAATAATTGTAAATTTTTAAAAATTTCAAGGAAGCAATTAGATAACACCTAAATTCATCAAAAACACGTATTGTGGCTTGATGTATCATATATTTGTATTTACATAATTTTACAGTTTGGTTTATAAATATTTGGACACTGAAATAACAAGAGTTAATCTGGACCATCAATAAATTACCATTTAGGTGTTTGGTCAACAATTTATCAATCAAATGACACAAGAAAAAAGTCAATAAATAAATGAACTCAGTGTCATGATTTTCTGACCAAAACATAACTTTTTTTTTTTTTTAATAGACTGGACAAATACATCAACTTGTATTGCATCTTATATTTATTGATTGTTTTAGTTGTTTTCAATAGAACATTGATTTTCTTTTCAATAGCTTCCTTGTCAGGTAACCCGGTGACCTAGAATTATTGCAAAATTGTTTTTACTTTGTTGGAAATGGTTACAAATGCGAATAGTTAATTTATTTAATCACAATCTTTTTTTTTCTTCATTTTGAACATATGAAACACAAAGAACAGATTAAGAAAAACCCTCCCACACCAGATCAGTCACATACATACATAAATTAATTAAAATGAATTAAATAGACACTGTCATGTTTTCCACATCCAAAATAAAAGGCTGCTACATGTCCCAAAATCTTTTAACAGAACTATTCAGGGTATATCTTGTTTTTTTCTAGATTAATATGATACATTCAGGTCTCTCTTGTAAATGAGTACCCAAGGCTCAATGGGACTAATGGAACTTTAATAAATAAAGGTCGAATGAATACATCACCTCTTTTATCCATTGTACATATTTGTTGGGGGGCGGGGATCCTTCCAATTGCACAAAACCAATCTTCTGGCCAGAAGAGAGCCAAAAGCAATCACATCCTTCTCGTACTTGCTGAAGGACGTATCCAAGATGTAGCCCCAAACAGTGAGATGAGAGGTGATGGGTGAACAGTTTTGCTACATATCCCAGAGAAGGTGTCAAAAATAGATCCCCAAAAGGTCTGCAGTTTGTGGACAGGTCCATAATGTATGCAGGAGCGTAGCTGGAGTTTGTTTACAATAGCTATGTTTACATGCGCAGACTTCTTTGACCGGATTGAAATGTGTTCTGTTTGAATAATTCAAATGTATTGTTTACATGGGCACAATCTGTTCATGATGAGCATTTACATGCAGCGGGCTTTGTTCTGAACAGCAGTACTGACATGCGCAGAGTGGTAAACTCTCCTTAAAAAAAACACCGAAGAAGAAGTTCTACTTCCGGGTGAACGTAAACAAACCTGAGCACCCAAAATGGACCCGCGACAGGTTTTAATGATGGTGGAGACGTTGCTGCACTCCCTGACTGATCTACAGGTAATACAGATCATTTTGAGCTCTTTCAAAGTTTCTAGTAGAAATGTTGTGTCGCTCACCGACCAGTTTTACTTCCCTGACATGCTAATATTATTAGCATTAGCCAGGCGGAAATGGCAAAGTCGCACATGTGCAGTCAGGTCAGTTTTTCACCATCAGATTAAAAACGAACAGATCAAGCGTTTACATGCGCACCGATCGGGTTGTGGATCGGCGTAAACCACCCGTTTCGTTCTGATCACAAATTATAACGGATCGCGCTGAATACACAAAAAATAACCCGAACGGAGCGTTTACATGACACACTTTTATTCCGACCGGCCATTTGATCCGGTTACTTATGTCCATGTAAACATACCCAATGATTACATACGGGGTCCAGGTTGGCATTGATCTTGGACAACCAGTCTTTGGACCAGTGCAGCCTGTGCACTACCTTGAATTGAATTACACCATGTATCAGGCAGATTGAGGATGAGTAAATGTTTTTAATGATCTTTCTCCAGATTGTCTGATATGGATTCCTCCAAGTCAAAAGTTCATTTTGAAATTCAATATTGTTCACACTCCTATTTTGATTACAGTAATCCCTCTCTACCTCGCAGCTCGTTTTTTTGCAAACTCATTCTATCGTGGTTTTTCAAAGTAAGATTGGACATGACACACAATGGCTGGTTGATTGATGAGCCCCATGATCGGCATGGATTTTTAAATTTTAAATAAATTATTTTAAATGATTTAGCACCTGTGTGCATCCCACTACTGTGGGAGAAGCTTCCTCCTGCAGATGATCAGCTGATCTCCATGCAGAGTGTAGAAGTGGGCGTGGCCAAGAGTGCAGCCCGAGGCAGAGAGCTGAAATCATGACATGCTGTGCTCTTTTAGAGCGTTTAGAGTTTAGAAACATTGTTTAGAATATTGCAAGAGTGTTGAAAGGGTTTAAAACACACACACACACACACACACACACACACACACACACACACACACAC